GCGGAATTTAACGAAAAATGGAAAGTTCGGCTACTGTGAAATGTAAAATTAGGTTATTATTATAAGTCAAAGGCAAGTAGGAACTCTACAGTCCTACAGTCCCACCGAAAGGATCATGCGACCAACCATTAGCAATTCCAGAAAACAAGACTACTTCGCCCTTTTCCACCCTCTTGTTCTGTATCAAGGAAAGCTTCCCAGGGTAACGTATCAAAGACTTCGGGAGGCAAGAGAAGCAGTAGGACCAATAGGAAGTATTTCAAATATTATAATGTTCGTCAATCTGGATTAAGGTGCAAGAAACGCAAAATCACAAATCACGTAAGGGTTTCAACGAAGTTTCAGTTGATGTCGCCCCAGCAGGTATATTTCACATCCATGAATTCCGTGAGGGCGTGTGGTCCTCCCTCACGCCCGATACCCGACTGTTTCACCCCACCAAAGGGAGCCTCTGGAGTGCTGACCATACCACTGTTGACGCCTACGAGGCCGGCTTGTAGACCTTCGGAAACGCGCCAACACTGTGCAGGATCTCTGCTAAACATGTAGGCGGCTAGTCCATAGGGTGTCGAATTCGCAATTTCGAGAGCCTCCTCTTCTGTACGAAAGCTAGAATCAAGAAAATGACAGTAAATGTCTACTCAATCAAATATAAGTAGGCATGTTTATTTAGGAGTATTGCCGTCAACGAGGAATGACCGTCGTCGAGTGACTACAAAAATCATCAAACACGACTGTATGCAGCCTCACCTGATAACGGGAGCGACAGGTCCAAAGATCTCTTCTCTTCCACAGGCCATCTTAGGAGTGCAGTTACGAAGGACGGATGGCGGATAGAAAAAGCCTTTGCGGCCATCACTCAGAGACTTTCCACCGATTGTAGGCACGGCACCCTCACTGATAGAGGACTCCACAAGTTTGGAAACCTTATAATTGGACGACACAAATGACAATTTTCAAAGAAGGCAGACACATAAGTCTTGAATCCTATTTTAAAAAAGAGCTTTATGGATGACGCTATGAACACAAAACTGTTTGTGCATATCAGTTCTCTGAGATAAGATTGAACTACCAAAACACCGACATCAGCGGCAATGCAGGATATTGTTTTGGCTGAAGCGAGCGGTGAGGTCACAGTCAATAAAATAGAAAAAAATAAACAAGAGACCTTATTGAGCGCGGCCTTATTGATGAGGGGGCCTTGATGGACACCAAGCTGCAGTTTCGAAACAGCTTCCGTAAGGAGCAGCACAAACTGATCATATATAGGCTCTTGGACGATGATGCGATTGGCGCAAATGCAGGTCTACAATAAGAAGAAAATTAAAACACAAATGAACTACTGATCCAAAAACGAAGTTATGCTCAGGGTTGGCTGACAGTAAAAGGACCCTATATAAATGTTTACTCAAAAAAGACAGAGAGGGTTCACAAAAAATAAAAGCATGGATGTGAGAGGAGGTTAGTAGCAAGGAGAATAACATGCTTTCCGCAATTTACTACCAGGAGCTACTGATAGGTGAATGCACCCAGAGTGTTTAAAATAACAGTGCAGATGGCAGTTACACGCTTATAGGGCTAAAGGTTGACTGTGGTTAATGTTAGGAGTTTAGCCTGACCAAATTCTAGCAAAATTTGCAGGCTTTCCTGAGGCGTCGAGCCTAGCCAAATGTCTTTGTTTGTTCACTCTGACCGCTTACACGCCATGACTGTCCACGCGCGATTACTTTAACCTCTGGAGAGGACATAGATGCACGCGTGCCCACTGGTCGTAGTTATCCCAATGCGTCCAGTCAGGCTACAGGCGAATGCGCATAACAATCAGTTATAAGCCACTGTCACCTCTCACACAGTGGAGTTGCACCACACGGACTGCGAGGACACCGCCAATCCGCTCCCCGATTGCCGGGCTAGCCCTGAAGCGGGAAAAAAGAGCACGCTGAAGATCAACCAGCGGCAACCTCCACCCGAGACAGCAACTCCGGGTTTTGTACACAATAAACCCTCCTCCGGGTGATTCTCAAAGTTACGTCCTCCTTATTGTGTTCTTCCTTGGGGATTCCAACGGGCGTAACTAGACGGTGACACACGTCAGATGTTACCGTTACAACAGTTAACTTAAGCACAGCACGTACACACGGAACCTTAACAAATCATCTGGCGACAGATGATAGTTTGAACATCGCAAACGGCGACGTCTGTCGAGCGCCCTACGGAATGACGGCGACACGAGCGACTTGTCCGTGAATGATTTTACAGTAAGACCACATCTATCATTCACTATCCTCCCTTACCTACCAGGCTCCGATGGCAACGACCGGCCGTGAGCTCGAGCGCACAGGGAGGGCGTAGCTCTATGATCGGTCTACGCGTGCCACAGACAACCTGATACATACTCCAGGTGTATCAGGCCACGATACCGGATGATTCGAGTCTCACACAGCCAAATTAAAGAGCCATTGCAGCCCTGATTGTAAGTAGAGGATAGGGGCTCGGAGGATTACCTGACCAGAGCAGCGGAACTTTGAGGCGATCACTTGATCAACCGCTTTTGTGAGGTCGGCCGACTCGAAGACAATAAAGGGCGCGTTACCACCAAGCTCCAGAGTGGCACGTTTCATGTGTGCAGCTGCAGCTGTGTAGAGTTTCTGGAAACACGAAAAAAGACGCCGTCACGATAGGAGACCGTCAGGAAGATGACGGAAAGACGAAAAATATGCGGCAAATTGAAAAAAAGATATGCAGGTGCAAAGACGCGAAAGTTGGATAGCCGAATAGATACACCCCCTCCCCCCGTATACGAGGAAACCTTACGGTAAATTCCAGGGCGGTAGTTATTCCGTTTCTTACCCCTAACTTCTGTGGAATCTAGCCCAATATCGGCTTAACTATATACCCGACGGTAATGACAGCGCACTAGATAGGCCAAACATTCGCTGCCACTAACGAACGCCAAAAGTGCATTATCGTCCAGTGGCGACAAACTCAGAGAGATTAAATGTGATCTAAAAGGGCCCTCGGGCCTGTAAACTGTAAACCTCCGATAGGACAAATTACCCACACAGCTACTAAGAACCCGTTGTCTTTGCCAGACAGATTTTGGCATGAACAGTGGCGCTCTCAATTAGGCGTTTGGTTGAAAGGTAACTGTGGTCTTTGTCAGACAAATTTTAACGTGGATAATGGTTACGAACTGCTCCTATTCCATTAGCCTAATTACTGTTGTGGCCGCAAATAAAAAATGGCTCGTTCGACGGAACAGCCCTTGGCAGTCATCTGAGCACCCGGACCCACACAAAAGCCCCTCGTCGGAGACAATAAAGTAATAGAAGCAAGTGTGCATGTTGCTGTAGTCCCTCATCTGGCGTTGCCGCGCGCATCCTTAAGTTGGAACGAAACGACACCATCTAGCAGCGGGCAGGCACATTCACTCCTTATTCACATGGTCACTAGTGCCCATTATTAGCCTCTGTGTGTCCGCCATTGATTAATTCCTAACCTTCAGCGGAACTGCATCAGACCTCGTTTTCTTTACCTGCATTCGAGTTAAAAACAAAATGCGCTAAAGGACCTGCCAATGCTGTAAATGCAGTATACAGCAGGCCTTAGCCGTTCACACAGGATGTCATCCTATCAGCATCTATACGGCCTACACTTATGAGCTGCATCACCGCTTTTCTTACGGCCTTCTAGAGCGCAGACTGCCTGGACTGCCTTCCAGAACCCGACATGAATCAGATGGAATGACGAATTTTCGTGTGTCATTAAAAATGCTTATGTCTAGAATTTACACACTGACCTTACTGATAAAGACAGGGGAGACTGGAATGGCCATTTTCGCCTCACTTGAGAAACGTACCATATAACGTATAGATGTTAAACTAGCGCAGTTATAGTACGGTATACTAATTTAATACCTTTACTAATTCATTGTTATACCTTGCACCTTCAGAACGGCAAAACCACCTAATGAATGCGAATGTAATCTTAATGACCAACGTGATCTTTAATATAATCAGGGAGTTAAATTAGGTAAAGTCCATATCTCAGAGTAGTCATATAAGGGAAAGTACAATTCAAGAAAATAAAGCGAACATGTACGTACTTTACTTTGCGGGTATGGGTATTCAATTTCGAATTATAAAAAAAACACGTACAGAGAAATAATGAGTTGTAAAATATGCGTGCATGTTAAATATGACAAGCGAAACGACAAAACCTACATATCAACGTTAACATTTGAAAAAAACAGAAGTATAGGTACTCCTCAATGATAAATTAACTGTCCAGTACGGCTAAAATAATGAAAATAACTGCACGGCGTACTCGAGGGTTGGCAGCCCCTCAGAGTACTTTAGGTGGAGAGGACTCTTCTGTTAGGGCTTCCTTGGGTAAGCGTACGTGCGAAAGCTTGTGATTCCCGTCGGAGAACCAGTTTATTTTGTTCTGCTGATGCTGTTATTTTTTCTGCATGACTGAAGCCATTTATCGCTTGCAGAGCAAATTCAAAATGGCGCTCCCTAGGGTGAGAATATCTCCTTCCAACGCTTCCACCCAATAACCTGTTGGCAAAGAGCTTACGTCATTGACCAAACTCAATAAAGTACGCATTTGCTATGAACCCTGGGAGATACCTTATAATTTCTCCGCTGAATTTAAGTTAAAATTTCAGAATATAAAGTTACCTACAATACTTTCCAATAATGATGGAATCGTTCGCGTTTCAAAGGGGAACTTGCAGTACAACTAAGTGCATAAAAAAGAGGCGGTTCCGTAGGAAATCGAAGTTTATTCGAAAGAATTTCCTAAATTATTTCTTGTACTATTTCAATTACCCACCAACTGTACATTTAAAAGCATCAAGATTTTATAAATTACCTCAAAAATTAAACATAAACACTTTCGCTGAACTGTGAAGAAAAATCGCCGATACGAATTAACTAGATTTTAGTGAGCATTTCGCGAGATCACGAATCGAGAAACACGAATACACGAAGTATGACTGTACAAGCTTGGCGATAATCCGCAAAGACCTCAACACAAAAGGTCCCTTCGGAATAAAAATAGCCAAACCGG